AATAATAATAATAATAATAATAATAATAATAATAATAATAATAATAAACAAGTCCAGTTGCCTTTTTAGAAAAGCCCCTTTGGGACATCCCAGGAGTAGGAAAAACTCACGGGTACGTTGCTCTTACTTTCTAATTTAATGAGTCACTTGAGAACACCGTTTATTAAGGACACATTGGGAAAAATTCGAGAACGATCCGCTCCTTTGCTTGATAGTCCAGCCGAGGCTTTACCTCGCCTCGGACGATTTCAAAGCCACGGATGAACACCCGAGGTTCGCTTCACAAGCCTCCCTAACCAACGTCCCCATCTTGCGGGTCAGCCCGTAACTCGCACCATCCCGAACCCACACGTGACGGGAACAGTTCGGCTCCTCTCCAACACGCTGCACGGAAACGTCAATCTCTCCCGCTTGCAACTCCAAAGGTGTGCGAAGCCGCCGCGCTTAATGGAAGGAGATACTTGCCCGGACATGTTCGGAGGCGAAGCGATGGTCTTTCCCCGCCGGGCGATCGACCCCCGACCCCCTTCTCTCCCTTCACACACACACACAAGCGTCAAGGCCGGAGACATTCCCGTGCAAGTGGCAGGAGCGTCCCTTCCCAACTCCATCCCGCAAACCCCTGCCTTGCTAAGGGCGAAGGCGTCGCTTCGCCTCCTCCTCCTCCTCCTCCTCCCGGCACAGCCAAACTTCGCTCCGCGGGACGAGGAAGCGGGGAAAGGGATGCGCGTGGATCGGGACGCGCGCTTCCACCTTCGCCTGCAGCAGCAGCAGCAGCGCCGGGAGATCCGCGGAGGAGAAGAAAAGGCAAGGGAGGAAAAAAAGAAAAAAAAACTTTCTCGCGAGTGGGACGGGGATAAAAAATAACCCCGGGCAAGTTCCGAAGGGCCGCGCAAAGGATCGGCTGCCCCCCCTCCCTCTCCCCCGGGGGTGAGAAGAAGGCTGGCCACTCACTAGCAGGGAAGCGACGGTGCAAAGCGCCAGAAGAAGTTTGGCTCCCATGGCCATGTCAAGAAGGGACCCGGGTCCTCGGCGGCGGCGGCGGCGACCGGGCGGAGGTTGCCGTCTCTGTGCGCTCCCGGGTAGAGGAAAGGCGAAAGCGGGAAACGGCCGTTGAGCACCCAAAGAAAGCGGTCCGGAGTTGCCGATCCACGCAATGCGGTTGGAAGCGAGAGAGCGGGGAAAGTGCTGCGCTCGGGGCTCGGGCGAAAGGAGCTTTCGAGACCTCGGCCGGTCCTCGCGAAGCCTTTCTTAAGTTGCGGGCGCAGCGTTTAAATAGGGCGGTTGCAAAGTAGGCGGAGGAATTGGAGTTAGGCAGGTCCCTCCCCTGGCGTGTTTCAGCGTTGGGTCGAATAGAGCTTCAGGTTCCTCGCTCCTGCCTTTGTCATCTTCGGGAAGAATTTTTTTTTTTCCCCCTCCCATCAGGGACTTTCCTGCAGTTGAAGTCCAGCCTCCTGGAAGGATAATATCAAGGCACGTTTGCTGGAGGCCCTCGCTTCTTTAACACTGAATCGGCGCGACAAAACCAGGTTAATGCGTGGCTGGTTAGTTTGTGTTTCGCCAAGCCTGTTGACTCGAGTGGAGGGGCTTAAAAGCCACAAGCTATCTTTTGAGTACCTGTGGAGATTCTCTTGTCATCCGGGTCATGGTTGTCTCAAAGGTGCTTTTTCAAGAGGCCGCTGGACTTTCTTGGTTTCTCTTTGAAGGCGTTTTGCTTCTCATCCAAGAAGCTTCTTCAGTTCTGACTGGATGGTGGAGAAGAACTGAAGAGGCTTCTTGGATGAAAAGCAAATCGCCTTCAAAGAGAAACCAAGAAAGTCCAGTGGCTTCCTGAAAAAGCACCTTTGGGAAGCTGTCCTCTGGTTGGACTGGATCCTTGTTTATTCAGATAAACCCGTTTTGTAAAATATGGGAAACTAAACATTAAGAGTGGTGAGCCGGCTAAATTTTCTAGTCTTTTCTCTAACGCAGAGATCTCCAACCTTGGCCACCTTAAGCCTGGAGGACTTTAACTTCCAGAATTCTGGGAACTGAAGTCCTCCACACTTATAGTGGCCAAGGTTGGAGACCCGTGGTCTCAAGAACCATTAGGCAGGTAAAGTAATGAAGCACAGGTGTGAAAAACAGGACAATGTGTCTCTACCCCAGGGGTCTCCAACCTTGGCCACTTTAAGACTTTGGACTTCCAACTCCCAGAATTCCTCAGCCAGCTTTGCTGAGAGTTGAAGTCCTCCAGGCTTAAAGTGGCCAAGGTTGGAGACCCCTGCTCTAACGGACATTCAGTCAATCCAGGTTAGCAAAATACATTGGGAGGAAGTGGGAGAGAAACGTTCTGAGTAGGGTAGGAAAACCTGCTGGCTTCAAAGTAAAGGAGGGGATTTAGAGGATTAATTAAGAGTCCTTAGTGCTCTCAGAGCTTGTTTTCTTGCAGACATTTCATTACCCAAACTAGGTAACATCAGTACTAATAAGGAATGGGATTTGCTGTAGCACCAAGGTCCTCTCGGGTCAACTCTGAGCTACAAAGATTCTCCTTTAGTAGAGCATATTGACTGATTGTACCGAGATAACTCTGATCATATGGAGATTTTTTTTCTCCCCCAAATTCTTCCAAGACTTTCTAGAACAAGAAGGAAAACTGGCTTCTAACCAGCAACCTGAACATAGAATAACATAGTTGGAAGGGACCTTGGAGGTCTTCTATTTTTTAAAAAAATAATTCTTTATTGAATTTTTTTCCATTGATACATAATACTAATAGTTATTAAACAGCACTGTGACATTATATATACATTTATGTGTCTTATCAAAACTTACAATGCATAATACTTTCATACCCTCTTATTTATTATATGCATTATTTACATTTTCTATTTTTATATCTATTATCTATCCAAATAAACCAGGCTTCCCATACTGTTTGTATTCTGTGTCTGTTTTCCCTTTTAACTCCATAGTTAATTTATCCATTTCCACACTCAATTTTTTTTTGATTATTAAGCCTTCAGGTGGTATAGAGTTTCCCTTCCAGTACTGAGCATATGAAATTCTTGCTGCTGTTAATATATGTAAGAATATAAGATATTTTATCTTTCTATTATAGTTTTTTTAAATTATTCCTAAGAGGAATAATTCCGGGACAAAATCAATTTTGTTTTTAGTTAACTCTTCTAACCATGCTTGCATCATTTTCCAGTATTTTTTCGCTTTGAGGCATGTCCACCAAGAATGAAAGAAGGTACCTTGTTGTTGTCCACACTTCCAACAATTTGGTTTTAAGTTTGGGTAAATCTTAGACAGTCTTGAAGGTGCCAAATGCCAACGATAGAACATTTTATGTTGGTTTTCCTTATATGCCACCGATTTTGTTATTTTATAATTCACATTCCAAATCTTTTCCCATTCTTCCAGATCAATAGTATGTCCAATGTTCCTACCCCATGCAATCATCGTTCCTTTCACAATTTCTTCCACTCTTTCAAATTCTAATAAATGCTTATATGACTCTGGTAATAATTTCTCATCTGGGCCAATCAAGATTTTATCTAGTTTTTGTATTTCATTATCTATTGCAAATTCCTCACTGTCTTTTTTATATCTTGTTTGAATTTGCATATAGGTCCACCAATCCAGTTTTATTCCCTACTCTTCCAATTTCTGTCTGCTCTTTTAATTTCCCTTGGTCATCTAGAATTTCCCTATACCTAGCCATTTTCTTAACCTCCGATATATTGGGGTGGATTACTGCTTCCAAGGGAGATACCCAGTTTAGAATTTTCAAATTATCAGCACATTTCTTATTTTATGTCTATAAAAGTATAGATACGGTTTGTTTTCTTTGTCCCACAGGAAGGCATGCCATCCTCTTTGTATTCATGCCCTTCTATGGTTAATATTCTTTTTTTCCTTAGGTTGATCCAATCTCGTATCCATACAAGTATTTCTGCCTTATGGTATAGTTCCCAATCTGGAAGCCCAAGGCTACCTCTGCTCTTACTACCCTGTAAATCTTTTAACTTTATTCGGGCTTTTTTGCCTGCCCAAACAAATTTTGTGATTATTCTATTAAGTTCTCTAAAAAAAATTCTTATCTAATTTTGTTGGAGTTGTTTGAAATAAATATAAAATCTTTGGCAGGACATTCATTTTTATAGTTGCTATTCTTCCTAATAATGATAATTGTAGAGTCCTCCATTTTCCCAAATCTTTTTTAATTTGATTGAATAATTTGGTGTAATTGTCTTCCTTTACTGTGGAGCACTTTGTTGTTAACCATATTCTAAATATTTAAAAAAATTTGTGACTTGTAGTCCCATTACTTTTTCTAGCTCCTTTTTATTTCTAATTGTTATGTTTTTCACTAGCATTTTGGTTTTGTCTCTGTTGATTTTAAATCCTGAAATCTCTCTGTATTTTTCTAATTCCTCCATCAAAGCTGGGCCTGATTCTAGTGGCTCCTCAATAAAAAAAAAAAAACCAAATCGTCCACGAATGCTTGTAGTTTATACTCCTCTTTTTAAATTTTTATTGCCTGTATAATTCCTAATTTTTATTAACAGTGTCTCTAGTGTCAAAGAGCAGAGGTGACAATGGGCATCCCTGTTGGACTCCTTTTGTTATTCTAAATGCCTTTGTTATATCACCATTTATTATTATATTGGCCTTGGAGGTCTTTTCGTCCAACCCTCTGCTTAGGCAGGAAACTCTACACCACTTCAGACAAATGATCATGCAATCTCTTCTTAAAAACTTCCAATGTTGGAGCATCCACAACTTCGAGAGGCAAGTTGTTCCACTGATTAATTGTTCTCACTGTTAGGAAATTCCTCCTTAGTTCTAAGTTGCTTCTCTCCTGGATTAGTTTCCATTGCTTCTTGTCCTGCCCTCAGGGGCTCTGGAGAATAGCTTGACTCCCTCTTCTTTGTGGCAGCCCCTGAGAGATTGGAACCCTGCTATCACGTCTCCCCTTGTCCTTCTTTTCATGAGACTAGACATATCCAGTTCCTGCAACCATTCTTCATGTGTTTTAGCCTCCAGTCCCCTAATCATGCAAGTGCTAGAAGCATCCATTTGTTACTGTGACATTTAAAAAAAAGTTTTTTTGTTTCCCTTGCAATAAAGGTGTGCAACATATTGAATACAGATCTCAGTAACTACTGGGTTTTACATTCTCAGAAGGAATTGGCCATTAATCCCCTTTGTCCCACCAACCTAGGATTTGTATTTTTAATCCAATTAAATCTGCATCTGCATTCTACCAAGATAAAGTTTGTGTCTTCAATATGAGCTTCGGTATGAAACAAATTGCCAACTTTTTCTTTCTCACTGTGGTTAGATAGTAACAATTTAGGAGAGAGAGAGAGACAGAATGACAAGAATGTTTAGTGAAAAATGCACCTGCATAGAGGGAACAAAACAACGTGTTCCATTGTTTCTTCACCACATTGTTATCTTTAGATATCTTCCTTCACTAACATCTGTTGGAAGGGCATTCAATTTAGCCAAGGATAAAATTAGTTAACTCAGATTAACAGAGTTGGAAGGGATCGTGTAGGTCATCTAGTCCAACCTGCCCCCCACCTGCCCAAGCGGGAGACCCTACACCATTTCTGACAGATGGCTACAGATAGATAATCAGAGTTGGAAGGGACCTTGTAGGTCATCTAGTCCAACCCCCCCGCCCAAACGGGAGACCCTACACCATTTCTGACAAATGGCAGTCCAATCTCTTCTTGAAACTCTCAACTGATGGCGCTCCCACAACTTCCGAGGGCAACTTCTGTTCCATGGGTTGATGGTTCTCACTGTCAGGAAGTTTCTCCTTGTTTCCAGGTTAAATCTCTCCCTGTTCAGTTTCCATCCATTCTTCCTTGTCTGGCCTACAGGTGCTTTAGAAAATAGCTCAACCTCCCTCCTCTCTATGGCAGCCCCTCAAATATTGGAAGACCGCTATCAAGTCTCCCCTGGTCCTTCTCTTTACTAGACTAGCCAAGCCCAGTTCCTGCAACCGTTCGTTGTATGTTTTAGCCTCCAGTCCTCTAATCATCCTGGTTGTTCTTCTGTGTACTTTTTCTAGAGTCTCAACATCTTTTTTATAATGTGGTGACCAAAACTGGATGCAGTACTCTAGGTGTGGTCTTAACTAAGGCTTTACGGAGTGGTATTAGTACTTCCCTTGATCTTGATTGTATCCCTCTATTAACGCAATTTAGGATTGCATTAGCTATTTTGG